CATGAGTTATACGCCACTAATAATAACGTTACATTGAAGAGGAACATGTTCAGAGGTCTGAGGAACTTGGAGACCCTAGCGTTGGACTCAAACGACATCACCGAAGTACCAGTCGGTGTCTTCAACGGATTGCCTCATATAGACCTACTGTATCTATCCAGGAACCTGATTTCATACCTACAGCCTGAAGTGTTTCGAGGCTTGTCCGAGGTCAACGAACTGGACCTGGGCAGGAACAGACTGAGGAACATAAACGGTGGAGTGTTTCGTTACCTGAAGAATCTCAACTCCTTGTGGCTGAATGGGAACCAGATCGGAGTACTGAAGGATGACACTTTTGAAGGATTGGACAATTTGTTGTTGTTGTTTTTGAATAATAATGAACTGCGTTTGGTCGATATGCTCGCGTTCGCTGGTATGAGGAATGTTACCATCGATCCGGGGTTCAAGATAGCTGGTAAAGTTATGGGCAATCTTGCCGAGGTGCGGGGACGGTTTAGGTGCAGCTGCGTTGCTTATTATCAGTCGCCATACGACTGCGTTCAGATAACAGTTCCGTTAATTAATTAGGTCTGTGTATGAATCAGGATGGATCAGTGGAGAATTGAGACTGCTTTAAATAGTAATGCATGATTCATTTTTTATATTCACTCGATGCATTTATTTGATCTGTCGATTTNTATGTAGTATGCGATGGGTGAACAGTCTAAGCCTAATCGAGGACACCTCTCAACCGATGCACGTCGGACATTAAACAAAATCTCTATCGATTCTCAATGCTTTCCTCCATGACACTCTACTGACTCTACTGACACTATTATTTAATTCGTTTTTCAAAATTTCGTGGAATAAAAATTAATCATCTTCTGAGCAGCCACTAAAATTTCATTCGTGACATTATTATGGCCATTGGTATCAATTCTACGTCTCATAGCAGTTGATTTCCATTTTTTAATGAATTTTCCATAATTTCTGACGTGATTACAATGAACCTCATGAGAATCTTGTGAAATTTCATTTATAATCATTAACATCTTCACAAACGAATCAGTGTAATGGCACTCGTAATGATGTCACAACGAAATACTTGACCTTCGATGAAAATTCAATTAAGACCATGAAATGGTCAACGAGAATCAAGCAATTCTGTCACAAGGAAGACTCCTTCATGAGACTGTACTCGTTACACCCCTAAAAGAGACTCCATTTTGATCATTCAAAAATGGCCAAAGCTATTAATGATACGAATGGAATTCTGGGAAACGAAGTAATTAATCATTTGGTAACGAGAGCTCGACGTGCACCCGCGGAGAGAGGCCCGTTTACATCTACATAGACAATCTCGATCTGTATACACGAACCTATACATTGTACTACGTCTCCTCCTATAACAATGATCGTGACCCGATCAATGTCCTCGTTACTCAATATTACCGGAAATTGGCTCAAGATTCAGACTGGCTGTAGGATTTCTTAATTACTATAACGATGACAGATAGAACTCGCATTTTTACCGGTCTTAAACGTTTATTAGGTATAGTATGGTCGTGCGTGATCTGCCTTACCGACCGATCATCGTCGCTCGATTCGTTGTCATGATGGAACCACGATGATCCACGAAGAAATCCTGGCTACAGTAGAACTGAAATTTACCAATCCCTCGAATTTCCCAGCTCAAAAAAACTACAGTGCTGTTCAGTTTGATGGCCTCAAATGACTAATATTATTTTTCATAGCAAATTGTATGTAATATAAATAAAATAACATAAATATGCAAAATTATGAACTGTAGAATCGTTATAAATATTTTTAGAACCTTGAGGCTACTCATATGTGAGTCACAAGCCTGTAACATTTTTAAATGTAAAGTTATTTAAGAGTAAACCATACTATATCATGAATATAGGTCAAGTAACCTCATTTACCAATTTGTAATGCAAAAATATTGAAGTAATCCAAAATTATTACAAATATTCCATGGATGGACACAAGCTATAACTATGGAACGCAATGTACGTGTAATTTAATTGAGTTCCTGTGTTTCGTATAGATAATTCGAGTTCTACTGCACCTCAGTTCCAGGGTTTGAAGGATTCTAAGAGAACATCGAGATTTAATAACGCTACTAATGCTACTCTCTCACATTTGTCTCGTTTGAGAAGCGTGAACGTGACCGATCACCCCGCTCTAATACCTTATATTGTCGTACCATTGATAGCGAATACATATTGGCTTAAGAGGCCAGTCGACGGTGGCTCCACTCGATTAGGTTAGGTTAGGTTAACTGAGGGCGCTGAGAGCCACCAGGCCAGTCTGCCAAAAGGAAACGCACAGGTTTCGTTTCATCCATTTGTTTCTTTTTTTTATATATCACAATGATTATTTTTCAACCTCTCGGGGAATCTTGCGATTCCAGACCGATTCGTAATTAATTACAACTGAAAGTGACACGCCGGGTTCTATGCAGCCCCGGAAAACGATACATTCCTGTTACCTTGGGGGGCGTAAGCTATACTCTTCAGCTTCACATGTCTATATATATATATTTATATATA